AAGATGACAATTCAGCTTTGGGTGATTAAGGAAAATTGCAGGAAGCAGCTCAGGATCGAAGAGAAGCGGTTTTCAGAGAGGCGGGTGATACCATATAAGGAATATCTTGTATATTTCTCCACTGAAAGGATAAGAGTTACAGTTGAGTGTATACACACTAGTGGAAAATGTGATGACTTACACACTAGCCGATAACGTTCAGCTTAGCTGTTATGTCTCACCTTCATCTTTAGCATTAACCCACGAAATCCGTTAACACCCGTCATTGAGGGCTTTTGCGTAATTTCAAAAGACATAATCGAGAAACCATCGCTCTCTATGTCTCGCGCCGTTTGCTCTCTGGCTCTCTTTGCTTCTGGCTCCCATTCTCTCCCTCATCTTCTTCCTCAAAAATCAAGGTTTTGCTGAACTTTCCACCTCTCTCCGGTCAACACCGATTGCCTTCCACATCTTCTTCCATGGTGATTATTTACGTTTCTGAAGATTAGACTTTTGGTCTATTTTTTCTCAGTTTTTTACTTGAGCTTGGTTTTAGGTGGTGCTCTTCACAACAGCTTCGAATTAATTTGTAAGTAGTTGATTTGTGTTTGAGAATTTCGATTGTGATTGTTGTTTTGTTGTGCAAATGATGCTTTCTTGTGTGATTGGATTGGATATTTTGGGGTTTTTTGGGTTTTGTTTGTGCTGCTTTAGGAAGTTAGGAACTGGTTCTTTGAACTTTGAAGCATACGGTGGTGACAAAGGATATGATCATATTATTAGCTGAATAAGTGCTTCTGATCTGAAAAGTGCTTTTACCAAACTAATGATGGCTTACTTTAATTGTCCATAGGTTATAATGCAAAGTTTGGCCTGTTTAATCTTGGTCACTGCCCCTGGATTTCTCAAGATACCTTTTACAAATATTAACAGGGTATGTGATCGCAATTTTCTCAGGCTGAAAGCTCGAAAGCAGGATCGGTCTATCTTTCGCGTACTTGATCACCACCTGTTTAAAGAAATCTTAGTACATATTATGTGCCTAAAACAACTACATTAATCAATAATACACAGCTACGATCCTATAAAACAGATCCGGTCCAAGTAAGGCCGTAAAAGTAATCGTACCATTGAACAATTTGTCTGTTAGATTAGTTACACTGCACTCCACACAGCAAGGAAAATGTAAATAAGGATACATACATATATTGCAGTGGTTTGAATGTAAAGAACCAGTTTTTTTTTTTTGTCCTTTCTCCAAATCATTGTGTATATGAGTTCGTATATTTGTTTGGATGCTTAATACTTTTAGGCTAAAATCTTAGACGACCTGATTGAGGTGCATCTGATGTTGAGTAATGAATTTGTTTGCATCCAAGTAAATTTCTTCTCAACCATTACATACCATATACTGATGGTGCAAAAGTGATAGTCAGCAGAAAACCATGATAAAAGTTTTAAAACGAAGCTGTGGAAGTTAATACTTGTAATTTGTATTGGAATGCAAAATTAAAAACAAAAAAAACAAAAACAGAATTGTTAACGGGTTAAACAGGTGACCTAATTGGATTAAAGGGTTGTGTTTGGGTGACCGTTAATTTAATGGGTCGGGTTAAAACCGATCAAAACTCAATAAACCCGACCCGTTAACAGGTCTACCCACAATTAGGTTAAAAAGTATGCATTGTTGAAGATAGTAATTATTTAATGTCCCTTGATCATAGCTCGTATACTAGTATTCCAACGACGTAGTGGCCAAGCAGCCGTAATTAGATGAGTGTTCAGCTTTGGTCCTGCACCCAAGCTGAGGTTCCGAAACTATACCATATACAGCTCAGAAACAAGAATTGGAAGCATAAGAGACGCGTTTGGGCTAATTAGGCTAGTAGAAGTTTGGCTGAAGTATGTTGCGCTCTTGCTATTGTAGTACTGCCTCATGATTCTTTTGGTGGTACTCGGCGTCTCCATAGTCCAGTGGATAGCGAAACAAAAGACAATCAAGAAGAAAACTTAATTAGATGTATTTAATAAAACGAGAGAGGGAGAGAGAGTTTGATTCCATCATAAACCAGGTGGTCCAACATCATCCTAATAGGAAATTAAAGACCTCAAAAACCAAGATTAGAAACTATGTTTTTTAATATTTCCTTTTTTGTGGGTAATTACCATAAAATATGTAATTTTGAGATGCTATTTACTTTTCTATCTTTAACCAGTAGGACCTCATAAAGTAGTAAAGGAAAGGAGGTAAATTTACCTTTTTATTTACACTTCTAGATCAAGATGAGTATATTACATTTCATTTATTTGAGAGTTTTTCAGCGAACAAAAAAAATGTAGAATGTCTATTTGAAGGTATTCTTTATTTTCCATTGGAGCTACAACATGAGATGCGACAATGGAGTCCAGAGGATGACATTGATTTCGAAGGCTATTGGTGGCAGAAAGTATCGTATTCACAACAAGATTGAATTAACCAATAACGTACCAAGGAACAAAATAAGTCGGGATTTTTTGTGTCAAAGACTTAAATGATGATTACTATTAATTTGTTTTTTAAATACCGCGGCACACTACTAGACTTCTGTAACTTTCCCATGTCAAAGAGATTTATCTGGCCTACATCTCCTTGGATCAAATTAATTACCATAATTCCGCAAAGAAATCAAGCTTGTGGTATAACTGAACATATCGAGTGGTATAACATTGCAATTACCATTCGAAGTTCCAACTTTTACAATTCTAATGTTTCCTTTCCACTGTTTAGATAGAAAAAGAAAACAGTACTTTCGAATTTGGAGTAGTACCCTTTGAAGTATATGCCATGCTCCCAAGCACCTCGACAGATCGCTCAGAGTACCCACGATACAAAGAGGAGTATGAAAGTTTTTATCACACTAGGACTCACCTTGATGTGTATATGCTGTAGTCTTTTCCCCACGAGTTTCTTCGTATCATATATAATAACTCTTCAACAGCCATATATCAATTTGGTTATCTTTTGTTACTGAAGAAACATGTTGGATGGTTAATGATCCTTTCCGAACTCTTCCTTTCCGAAAGTAGAAGTTGTTTTATGCATTTCCAAGATCAGAAGAGAAAGCAATCATGATCAGCCAATGCATTTTCCGTATGCCGATACATAACTCTTACTTAAGCAATAAGAATTAAGCAAGTCTGTCTATGGTCCTCAGCATCTCCCTAGTCCTACGTGAAGGAGATAAGAATTAAGCAAGTCTATTTATTGTGGATACTAAATGAAGGAAACAAGATCGAACAAATTCACACGGAGAACCCACGAACAAAGAGAAGTATGATATAAGTGGAGGGAGAAATAAATTTTTCAATGTCCATATACTTATGTTGTGAAATGTTTTAGACACGCTGAAAAAATCTCTTCCTATTGAGAATGACACGTCCCTCCTAAGTGGAGGTGCATGGCTTTTGAAATTCCCACAAGGTAATTCTCATAAGGTGAAGGCATGTGATATTTACACGCATTGGTTAATGTATTATGTATGGTTGAATGCTTAGTTGGGTGGTGCATGCAGTCTGCAGACATTGAAATTGGAAGTTGGTAGAGAATTCTACCAAGGAATTTTAAATGTCTTCCTAGGTCCAATAATTATGGATGGTGGTTAATGCATGTATTGGGGCAATTGTGGGGAGAGGCTTCTCAGCGTATCTAAAATATGAGCTGATACACTAAGTTTTATGATGCATTGTTGTCAATGTTGATAACATTTGTGAAAAAGGTTTCTCATGTTCTAATACTTTTTAAGCTATAAACACGTAAATCGTCTTCTCAAAGTTGAAACATTTTTGGATGTATGTGTATTTTCAAAAATATGATGTCTTTGATTTTGGTCTTGTCACATGATGAATTACCATGTCCTCTGGTATTTTAATAGTTATGGCTCGGCAGTGCCTTTTATTGCCCTCTATTTGTATGCATGTATGGCTTAGTTTTGTTAGTTTCTACTTGCTGGGTTATGTTTTTCCCTGCTTGAGATAACATTGATGTACTTTTCCTCTTGAGGTTTATTTGTATTCATTTTATCAACCAAAAACTAGAGCCTATATAGAGCTTGTCTTAGTAACTAACTCAAAATACCAAAAAAGAAAACTCAAAAATATAAATTGAAGTTGAAATTTTCTTTAAGGATAGAAAGCGCATACATAGTTGTCAAATATAAAGTACATACATAATTGTCAAATAGAAAGCGAATGCATAATTGGCCAAATAAAAAGCGCATATATTGGCTTCTCTGTACATGTTTCTTAAAAAGTAGCAAATCCAAACCCAACTAAGGATAACATAGGAATTCAAAACAAATTTTTGTGCTTCCTATACCCGGTCCAAAAGTAGAAATGAATAACTCAACAAGCAACGGAAATTGCATCCATATGAATGAGGTAATTGGAACACTGGCAAGCAAAATGCTTGGAATAACAATTGATGATTTCCCGCCAAGCATAATGTAAAGGCCACAAGAAAAGACAATCATCATGGTGGCGATAGATAAAAAGAGGGTGAAAAGGCCAATTATCATTTTTGTGGCAAGGATTTGTAAAAATCATCTTCAGAATAACGTGATGTGAGAATGCCCAAAAACATAATAACCGAGGTTGTTGAAGAAAAGAGCGAGACTGCATCTGAAACTATAAAAGTTGTGAATACCTTATTAGTTAAGAATATGGGAAGATCTATCTTTTCATCATTCTTATCATTTTCACCAGGAGCTGTGAATGCTGCAGCAAACATTATGGTGACAATAAGAGCACCTACAACTGTACAAGAAGTTGCTGTTTCCTTCATTGACTTTTCTGCCTCTTTCCCCAATTCTTTGTGATTCTCCTTGAACACTTTTTGTGATGTCTTATTATCATTGTTTCCAGATTCGCAATCCTTGGGTTCTGCAATGCTCTCTACCTCCTGCATTTTGGGAGACCAAATTATTTATGGATGTGACTTTGAATTCTTTATCTCTTCATATAAATCCTTTAACTTTTGTCGTTTGAGACACCACATAACCTAAAATCAATAGTTAAGCACATAGGATGATAGTATAGTACGTAGTTAAATAATAATGTTTACCTTTTTAATTTCAATTTTTTCCTGTTATGCTTGTACATGTCGACAAACTTTTTGTTTTGATTTTTGATTTTTGATTTTTGATTTTTAAAGAGAAGTAACTTCTACATTATCTTTTTTTTTTTTTTTTTTTTTGAAATTGGATAAATAAAATAACAAAAATATGTGAAGAAGTAGGAGAAAATGAGAGTAAATTTATAGCCACAAAAAATATATAAACAACATATAGTGAAAATACTTCATAAATATAAGCATATATAGATAGATAAATAGATAAATAGTCACCTTGAACCATTGTAGTTCTCTTTGCATTTGCAAAGTTGCACCTTGAATGTGATCAATTTGTGACAATGGGGTAATCCTTGCTACCGTATGTAGCATATTATTGCCGAGGTTATCTTTATACTCCATTGCTTTCTTTAGTTCATCAGAATGAAGGCCATATTCGGATTTATCAAGGGCATCTTTATCTCGTTTTCGGAGAAACTCACATATAATATTATAAACATTGTAGTGACGACATTCAGCGGCAATTTGGAACAGGCTCTGATTTTGTTTGTTCCTAACATCAAGTACAGGATATGAGGAATGTCCAAAAAAATTTGTAATATACTCCACATGCCCTCGTTCTGTTGCCACGCACAGTGCTTCTTTCAATTTCTTTTCTTTATAAACATTCATATCTCCTTCACTCACTGCTTTACACATGAGAGGTAGAAACTGTTGGACCCGCTCATGCACCAATTTTATCTGATATATACGATTGATTCCTAGGTTCATTAAAAAAAAGAATCATTTAAAAATAATATTGACTATTAATAAAACTATCAAAAAAAAATCAATTAGCAATATGAATGTGTATGTGGCCCACCCAAAAGTGTTTGAAGATTTGCCACTAGCCTTCGGAATAAACTCATTCCTGCATTACAAGTCAAATTTGATGAAAAACAAAACAAAAACATTTTATTTATCACTAACACCATTTCCCTCTTATCAGTTATTTTTCCATTAGTTGAAAGATATATACTTATTTTTTACCATTAGTTGAATTTTACCTTATGATGTAAGTTTAATTACCTCTATTTTTCATTTCCATTTTAATTTATTTCCCTTCCTTTTCTTTTCTTTTTGGCGCTTTTTATTTGGGAGGAGTATTAAATAAGGTTTTTAATTTTAGAAGGATAAGGACTGTCTGCCCTCTTTGTTCATGTGTCTTCCCGTGCCCTCCTGTTTTGTGTGGTCACAATTAAGCCACGTCAACATTTTATATATTTTTTTATTAGAGATAATAAAACAAAAATGAGTAGTAATATAAAATGTTGACGTGGCTTAACCTTGACCACACAAACAGAAGGGCATGGGAGGGCACGGGAAGGAGGGCAGACAATACTTGTCCATTTTAGAAACCCATTCTCTCTCTCTCCTCCATCTCGTATACTCTCTCTCCCTCTTCCCATTCACGCTGCAACAGCAACCCAGTAAAGACAAACAGCGCCGCCGTCCACCGGTCACCAATGACCATCAAATTATACCTTCACAATCCTCTTTTCGTCCTCTTTTCAAACCCCACGATAGTTTCTACAAATTCGTAGCCGAATTTCCTCAATTTCATATCTAAGAAACGGCGACTGCGAGATTTCCAGCGAAACTTGCCGGAATTGGAGCTCGACCCAAGAGGTAAAAATGATCCACTCCTCGTGGGCTGTCCTCAAGTGTAAGTGTTTTTAATCCCAAAATCAAAGCTTTAAGTTTTGGGATCGATTTCTATATTTGGAATTTTAATTCCAGTTTGTGTATGCATGTGGAAGATTGGGGAGGAGGAAGGTGAATCAAGGTTGTTTCCAAGCTCGACCGAGAAGAATGGGAGGAGGAGGTTGTGGGTAAAATTAAGGTGAAATCCGAGAAAACCCTTCTTTTTCGGTTTTAATCTGCCCATTTTGTTTATGTTTTGTGTGTTCAAGTTTATTGTTTATTGTTTTTTGTTTTATTTGAGTACGATGTGTTCAAGTGTTTTGCTAAGTCAATACAATCCTAAGTAGGAAATATGGAATGAAGATGTTGATATATTTTTGTGGTAGCATTGGCATGGCATTAACAAAAACCAAATTGGACTGGGGACATGTAAATTACCTGAGGAAATGAGATGATGCCTTTTATTCTCTTTGTGTTCTGCGAGAGGCCCTTGATCAACATTTATGTGACTGTCCTTGTTGATGGAAGGAAGGGGTTTTATGCGGATACCTATCAAGATAAGAATACAAGCCCAATCATTAATTCAATGAAATATTCCTCTCAAGCAAGATTTTTATGTTAAGTTATGTTTGTGTTGTTTTTGTGTGAAATCTGTTATTTTAATGAGTTATGTCATGTCAAACCACAGTTAAGCTCCGCTAGCTTAATGAGTTTGAAAATTTAAGCCCAAACCCAACCTGTTATACCCATTGAGCTCTCTGTTGGAGTGAGAGCCTTTCCAACCTTAGATCGAATGTCTAACATCTTTTTATTATTTTTTGGGTTCCCGTGGCTTCCAGTTGAACATAAGTGGGTCTCATGCATGATTAAGTTGTTTTTATTTTTGAGGGAGAGAGGGAGAGGGAGGAGAGAGAGAGAACATGGAGATGACATGTGGGGTGAGTGAAGTTTTTTGTTGTGGAAACAAAAACATGAACACAAGATGAAAACAAACAAACAAATGATAGAAGAAGACAGAGATACCATAATTTTCTACGGGGAAGTTGAAGTTAATAAGGGATTAGTTCAACGAGTTCGTTCAACTAGCAATCCTATAATTAACGGATTTTGTGCATTTACATATTTACAATCTTAGTGGTATATTGATATTGGTAGGAAAATAAAAATATGATGATGTGTAATTCTAGACTTTGGACCAATTTCATGTAAGTGGAAAAGCAATTATGGACTAACCATGATAGATCAAATTTTCCCATAAATGGAGCGGCCTTCCGCTTTTGAATGCAAAACGGTTACTGGCCAATGTTACTAAGGGGATATTATCGTTTTTGTCTGTAGCCATGGTCAATTTTGGATAACGTTGAATCAAATCCCATGCAAGATCTATATATAATACAAGTGTGAAAAGAAAACATTGTAAGTACATATATAGACAAATTTGTAACAAAAAAAAAATCAAACGGGGAAGAGTTGTACTAAATCTATGAAGACGAAAACCGTCAAAAATAAGTTGAGCGGCATCGATAACTTTTATCGTTTCGGGTCGAGTGAGGGAATAGAGATAGCGAGCCATTCGTTCTCCTTTTGTATGCCCTTGGGCCACCACAACTAGAGCCATTTCCGACTTCAATAATAAATCGGGGTTCTTTTTAACCATGCATTCAGCTACTTCAACCCTTTCTGGAAACAGAATTATCAAACAATGAAAAGCTGTGAAACCAATCCAGTTTTGTATTTCCAAGTGTTCCATTGCCATTAACTCCACCAACTCTTGTATAATGCGCACGCTGCAACTCTTCTCGATTGCGTAGTGAAGAGCTGTACCATTCGATGAAACTCTTGCACTTGCTGCCTGGGGATGTTGGCGAAGAAAGTTGATCGCATTATCCCAATCATTAGACTTGACATATTTCACGAAAGTTTCTTGGATGCTCTCATCATGTCCTGCTCCTGCATCCCATGTTTCTTAATTGCTAAATTTCCCATACTTGCTTCAAAATAATTAATTAATACAATTCCTCTTGAAATAAACAAATGGGAAATTCTACGGAAAATATAACCAATATATATAAGAGGGAGATTCCAGATGAATATCACCGATAATGAACCTAAACGGTCATCATTAATTACTATTAAATGGAATTATGTACAAAAAGTTATAATTTGTGAGGATACCTCTAGTGATACTAGGACCTCCTTCCAATGCCGACTTTGTCGTATTTGGATACGCTTCACTAATTGGCTTGTGTGCTGAAAATGAAAATTTTGATATATCATGCAATTCTCAATTTCCTTTTTCTTTTCCCTTCATATATACAAATGCCTATGCTTACGTGTGAAAAATAATTACAAAATATTTCTCATCAACTTTTCTTGTATGTACGTACCATTTTCATATCGTCTTTCATCTGGTGATTCATGTCTCAACCTCCATGACAAAGTATCCCATGCTTTTTCGGCCGTGGTTTTGTCCTTGATTAATGGATAAATATCATCCCCGCAAGAATTCTGGATTGCATATAAGGCCTTGGCATCCTTCTTCTTCCAAGCCTTACGTTCTTCTCCAACAGGAGGTTTATTAACGGTGCCTTTGACGATGCCCCAAAGATCTTCGGCCTTAAAGTAAGTCTTCATCCGAAAACTCCAATCCTTATAGTTTTCATGGTTAAGAACTATAGAAACAACTGTAGCAGTCATATTCAACCTGCCCATTTATTCAATGATATTTTATGTTAATAGGGCATATGTGAAAGAAAAAAAAATGAAACAAAGTCAGCTGTCTAACACCACTTGAGGAGGGTAAGTGCTATAGTGGAAATCAAGCACCCTTGTGGCCGACACAAAAAATAAAAAAAGAATAAAATAAAAATAAATAAATAAATAAAACGACACTACTCTATAAATGCTAGAAGAAATTATAGTATGTGTGTTTGTATTTCGAAAACAAGGCAATCAACAAGATCCAGGAACAAAAACAAACCAAAGTCCCGATTTGACAAGGAAGACACTGCAATCCAAAATATAAACAGTTTTTAAAATATAAGTCTCCAACCTGGTTACAAGATTTGGAAGATGAAAAGAGAGAATGAAATCAAATGAGAGAAGTGGAGAGAAATTTATAGATATTCGAAAGAATCTCATTCTGACGTGAGATGAGAAATTTGAACAACCATCAAGACAAGTAAGAATATCATTCTCACAAAAGAAAAAGACCAAAGTAAAGTATAAAATCGAGTAAGGCTTCAATGCTATGTATCATTCAATTTACGGGTGTTTCAGCTGTTAGCTTTGATTTCCATAGTTATTTAGATCTTTTATTTTTAATCTCAGCATTTCATTTTCTTTATCATTCCTTTTTTGGTCTACTTGTACTCTTTTCTTTTCTCTTTTTACAAATTCTTTTTTACAAGAAATGATAGGTTGATATTTCATTTAGAGTAATGCTAGGAAGAACAAACTTCTAAACCAAATTTTGTAAACCAACTTATGTGGATGTTGATGATTGAATTATTACTTAAGTGTTGATTAATGTGCTCATTTCATATTGGTGATACATCATTTGGTTTAAAATTTTAGTATCCCTATCATTATCCTTTTATTTAACATTGCAAACTAATACAAAGGCTGATTCAGGGCAATGCTCCACTGACAAGAAAAATGATCTATTGTGAATTTTCTCAGATAAGGGAACCATAGTAAACCTCTAAACGATTACTACATGTACCAAAACTACACACGCCACTATACTAATCTGTATCAAAACAATAGACGCAACAGATTTCTATTAGTGACCACAAGTCATCGTCGAACAGCGAGGTGCCACCCATACCACAAAATGATAAATAAAACATATTTCTATCAGGGACTACAACAAGTTATTGTCGGCCATATAAAGTCATTGCGGAAGAATAACATCACGTAAATTTATCGTTGGTTGACGAGATCATATAACTCATCGCTCAAGGCGAAAACTACATCCAACCAATGCTGTAGAGAAATCCAACAGGCGAGACAACGAAACTCAACTTAACTACTTCACGAAGGAAATCACTTGTCGGCTCATTCCAATGTAGGATTAGGACGCTCCAGCCAAAGCTACTTGCAATGTCAAGCTCAAGTGGATCTGCAACGTCCACGAGTCAAGTATGAAAACTCCAAAAACATATAAAAATATATAAATACAAAAATTGCTCACCATCCCCGAATTTAATAAAATAAAATAAAATAATTAAAAAATTATATTTCACGTGAAACTGGTGGTAGATGTGTGAAATATATGTGCGGCTTCTTGAACACATTTGATAAGCGGAGTGTTCTTTGCTCCTCCCACCATGCATACGGCCGGTTTGATTTTCTTCTTTTCAGTAAGAGCATCTCTAATAGTGTAGGCAATTGAATAGGCAAACTCATTTTGATGAGTCATGTAGGTTAAAATTAACTTCAATGGTATAGGCAATTGATGCCTACTCCTCAAAAGTAGACAATATTTTCTATTTTCATCCACAATTTTTAATTTCTCGCACATCACTCTATATTTTTTATGGTTGAATTAAAAAAGTCAAACAAAAACAACAATAAAGATTAAACAAATATGTGAGAGGCTAAAACGAGTGTTTACAATTTCTTTATTTTTTTACTACACTACAAGTAGGGAAATCGGGCCCACCACTTTTTATAGGCTAAAACCTTTTTGGTCACCGTGTATGTTTAAAATTTATTTTAATTACTATGTTTTTTATTTAGTCAAAATGAACATTGTGTTTTTCAACCTTTACAATCTGAGTCACTTTCTATTAAGAAAAATATTTACTTACATTTAAAAAATACTAATAATTTTATACAAAGAGTGTAAGACTAGGCTAGTAAAAATTGAATGAAAGGGAACACACAAAGCCACCGGTCTCCTTCCTAGAAAGCAAAAGCAGAGACTGCGATTTAAATATATGGTATATGTGCTCATGTTCCAAACACATTAAAAAATTTCTTAGAATTTAGATCATAAAACGCATTTGCAACAAATAAAATGACCACGATAATCAAAAAGTGAAAAAGTCAAAAGTAGCAAAACTAAAGCAAAGTGGAGAGGGTTAGTTATCTCCGAAGGAACTCAATAACCCGTTATAACGAACAACTCCAACAAAAGCAAATTCTTTTTTAAGGCAGCTCATCGGCTCCGCCAAATCCCAAACAAAACCTGGACACAAGGAAAGAACCCAGATGAATGAATTCACAGGTCACACAACTCGGGGAACAAAAAAAAAAGGACAAAACATGGACCACGTTTGCATACCTTCAAACGGAAGAATCGCACCACGTTTGCGTCTCTTGACAATTATATTATAATTTTTAGCCTCTTGATTGTTTTTTTTTTTTTTATTGATTATAACAATCTACTGATAGCATACTTAATGAAGCGGGATTTTCTGACTTTGGAAAGAAATCATTTCGATTGGCTTATGTTCTATTGATAGCTGAAGCTGAAACGAACAAAAAATATCAGTATATCATCACTGTGTTAGTTAAGTACTGTCTACATTATAAGATCGTCTCCACAAGAAAGAGGACAAATTAAATCTACTAATGAGAAGCAAAAGAACGTAAACAAGCCAAAATCTTAACTAGAAAGCAAAACCAATGCCTGCTATTCAGAATTTAGAACATAAAACGCTTTTGCAACAAATAAAATGATCACGACAATAAAAAAGTGAACAGAGTCGAAAGCAGCAAAACTAAAGCAAATTGTACAAGGTTTGTGAAATACCATCCTCAGAATTTCACTATTGACTACGTATTTTCGTTATTAAATTTCGTATTTTGGGTTATATTTTTTTTAGTTAATTTTTAGGTTTTTAATTAAACTCCCACTTTGTGGGAAAGAGGCCAATCAGGAGAAGAGAGTAGAAGGCAAGGTACCAATTAGATAAAGGATAGAGAGAACAAATCAGATAAAAGGAGGAAGTGCGAGGCCATTCAGAAACAAGAGAAGGGAGGGGAAAGGAGAGAAAGAAAAGGAGGGAACCGAAACCCCCTTTCTGTTCTGTGACCCATGCACCAGTGACCAACCCGTTCGAACCTGTGTGAACTCCAGCCACCTCCACCATTTTTTCAGGCGAACTACACCCACCCATCACCTGCAACCTCTTCCACAACCTCTCCTCTACCATTTTCACCCAAATTAGTGAGTTTTTAGGTCCAAAATCCCGAAAATCGTGCAGAAGAGCCGGAAGTGTTCAACGACGATTCCTCCTTTCCGGCAAGTTTCATCACCCACCACCACCCTTAATCAACTCCCCTTGGACCCATGAACAAGACCCAACCAGTGGTAAGGGTGTTGGAACACCGAGGAAATCGAATCGAAGAACACCCATTCTAAGGTTTCCAACTGGTTTGAGTGAAATTAGAGCTTTTCCCGGCCAAATTGGCCTTAGTTACATGTATAGAGTTTGCTCTACTCACTGAGATCTTTATTTCTGTAAAATTTGGTAATTTTTAGAAAAAAATCGAATTTTCAAGTAAGTCAGGCCGGCTGGCCGGTGGGTGGGCCGAGACCCCACCTGCTCTTTCTAGACTAATTTGGATACCCTGATTCCATATGTGACATCCGATTGACGAAATTCCGTCGTTTATGCATATTTTCGTTAAGGTCTGCCACTTGGTCATTATATGATTCGACGATCTGACCATTGGATCGTCACCAAACTTTAATATGTTATAGTACGTAATATTTGAGGACAATAGGAACTTACGGATCAAGAATCCGACGTACATATCTTCCCGAATTGGATTTCTAAGTTCGTAAAATCAAACGTTGACCTCCAATGGCGTTTGTGATTGGCTCGGATCGTGATGAGATTATAGTATGATGTTCTATTAGCATAATTTGGACCTTAGAAAGTTATGGATTCGAAATCCGATGTGCGGATCACCCGTATTGAATTGCTAGGGTTGTGGACCCTTTCGTTGACCTTTGACCGACAATTAACTTTTGGTCAACACGTTCCAATCCACCTAGAACATCCTTGGGGACGTGTTCTATGTAAAACTATGTGTTTTATCACTTGGGTTCTGAGACTAGATTTGATGTTTGTTCTAGGCGACGATCGGACGTGGACGCCTCGAGATTCGTGTGAGGAAGTTGTAGCGCGGACTCTAGGTGAGTGACTTTAATATATGTGATATTGGTGATTACCCTGTTTTCGTAACTATTATCTTGTGTGGATATATCTTGGTTTTATAATTATGTATTTATAAAATTGTTTTTTTTAATATTTAGCCATTGATTTATTTTTATTAAATGTGATTTGAAGTACATATTTGAAATGTGGTTTGTTCTGTATGATTGGCTTGATGTGATAAAATGTGGGGGCTAATAGTGGACCGTTAACTCATTGTCATGGGGTTTGTTGCTTCAAAGCATGTTTCACATCTCATTTCATTTTTTCGTTGAGCCGTTCTAAACTTAATACTTGTGCTTGGTTCCATTTCTTGTTTCGTTGAGCTTTCTTAATTTGAGTACTTGTTTCATGTCTTGTTCTTAGAGCGTTGTTATATTTCTTGGACTTTTCCTCGATTCCGTTAAGTGATCCGAAACTGGGTTTCTGCTGGGGTTCCGTTGAGTGGTCTGGTTCCTGCTCCGTCAGGATTCCGTCGAGTGATTCGGAATCCCTCAAGCTTCGCGATTCAGTTGAGTGGTCTGGAATCGTATCGTTGAATGGTTCGATATCCATTGTACTTCACGATTTCGTTGAGTGGTCCAAAATCGTATCTCGCTGTGGATTTCATTGAGTGGTCCGATATCCATTGTACTCCACGATTCCGTTGAGTGGTCCAGAATCGTATCCACTCGGATTTCGTTAAGAGGTCTGAAATCCCTTCTACTCTGCCATTCCTTTGAGTGGTTTGGAATCATATCCTGGTTTGGATTCCGTTGAGTGGTCCGGAATCCCGTTTGGTATTATGGTTCCGTTGAGAGGTCCGGAACCCGATTAATTGCTTTGTTGATTCTTCAGATTAAGTTTGGATTGAAATAGCTTTAGAGATGTAGGCTTTGACTGAACTGTGTCGCTCTAGCCCTACTTTTCATTGTGTTGTATGAGTTTATTGTTGTGAGCTGTTGTGATTTGTTTCAAACGAGCCGTTGGATGTCTGAGTGACTTCTTCGAGAGATTTCAATTGCATGACTTCGATTTCATAAATATGATTTGATATTTAAGGTTTAAAAACCGTAATCGATGGTTGGTTTTTAATAGTATCACATACGTATAATTATTATCAGTCACACGAGCTTCGTGGCTTATCCGGGTCGTTGTTTGCCCGGTGCACCATTCCCATGGTGTAAGGGCGATTGTGCAGGTGTTAGTAGATACGAGGAGCTTTGGGGTAGCAGACAGAGTTCAGAGGGCTTGGAGTGTTAGGTTACCTCTATACTTTTCCTTGAATAGTTGTAATTATAGTTGTTTTCAGTTTAGTATTTCAGTTGGTATTTCCTAGCATCCCTCTGCAGTCTACTGTCATGCGTCGATTCTGGACATATGTCGGGATCGGGGTGTGACAAGGTTAGTTATCTCTGCAGAACTCAATAACCCGTTATAGCAGACAACGCCACAAAAGCAAATCCATTTTGGAGGGCAGCTGATCGGCTCCAGCAATTCCCAAACAAAACCTGGGTAAGCACCAAAGAAAGAACCCAAATGAATGAATTCACAGGTCCTACAAATCATGAAGAAGAAAGAAACAACATGGACTAGAAGATTCTAGAACACTTACATCCCTTTAAACTGAAGAATCGCACCATGATCGTATCTCATGCACAGCTTCGTAAAGGCAAAGAAAATATTGAGCATGCGAGCATATGAACATAATGTCCCTCGCACCAGGGGAAATGACAAACAAAAGAGGGAAAAAAAAATCAAAAGTGGACTGAAAATTGTGCAAAGCAAGACAAAAATAGCTATTCACGCAATGAAATTCATATGTATCAGATTATTCATTGTAAAAAATAAAATGACTCCTTAATAAAACTTGTATAGTAAGTTGAATACTGAAGATCAGTAGGATAGATAGGACATGTGGAATGACAAAAATAGTCTATTAAATAGAAAAATTCAAAAAGAAAACTCATTAGGTGACTGAGAAATAATAAACCAAGAACTGAGAGGCAGATTAAGTTCAGCAAACGCAGATAAAATTATGCAAAAAGTAAGTAGGAATCACGTTCTCACTTATACAGCTTGATATCTGCGTTGCTGAGCACCGCCCGGGAGTGGTAATGCCTGATTCATGATTTCTTCCGACTTGCGTTTTATTTCTGCTTTACCTCTCTTGACAGATTGTTCAGTAAGACCGTCAATAAACAGGAACACCTTGCAATCTCCTGGCCCTGGAACCTTGCCTGGCGGGAAATATTGACCCCTGATAGTAATGGCAGCTCCAGTCAACTCTGATATAGGGCCCAAAGTTTCCTTGTGGGTAACCTTCCACTCCCCGGTCTGCAGGGCAATACCAGAACCTCCATATACAGGCACACACCTGAGACTAAGTGCCCTGGCAAACTTGTTAATAACACTGTGAATCTGCTGCACAAGCTCCCTTGTCGGTGCCATTACAAGACCAATAGGCCCATCCAGCTACCACAGGTGGATGGTCCTTGCTATGCCTCAGCATTGGCAGCACATATACAAGGGTTTTGCCTGAGCCAGTTTTTGCAATGCCAATGCAGTCTCGACCGCTCATAATTATAGGCAATGCCTGAGCCTGAATTGGCATTGGCTTTTCATAGCCGAGCCTCTTTATAATTTCGAAGATTTTATTTGTAAGCCCAGTTTGGTGCCAGGTCTTAATGGGCTTGGTGACATCCTTACCATGTATCTTCAATTCCAACTGTTTTCGGTATGCACCCACATCTCCTGGGGTCATTTTTGAGATCTCCTTCACCTCATCAATGTATAAATTTTTTCGGAATGGTTCATAACTATCTTTGAGTGGACTCATCATCGTCTTCGTCTTCTAAGGGATTGTCATTATTCCCAATGTCCCCATAACCCGAGTCTGAATCCTCCCCAGGAATTATTCTGCCTAAAGATTTATTTGAATCTTTTTCAACAGAAACTATTGTTTGTTCCGCAACATTGGCCAGCTTCTCAACTTCAGGCGGCATCGTAGAATTCATAAAAGCGTCTAATGGATCAATTTCATCATCCTGCAGAGCAGGTGCAGCTCTTTCATTCTCGGAATCAACCTCCAAGACAGCTCCATCCTCTTTGTCAGCGCGATAGGCTTCTCCGTCAACGTCCATACCCGTCTCTTCATCATCGGATTCTCCCTCAAGAGTCCAGGTCTTTATAGAATTGGGTTCATCAACATCCCAATTCCATCCATAACAATAATACTTCTCTGAAGTTGAATTCACAAAACACACAAAAAATTACTTAGTGTCCTGAATTACACACAATTCAGACCAACACAATCCACAGGAAGGAAACCAATTCGGACAAGGTAAATACTAAAAGGCAAACCCTAAATCCAAACCGAATTAGAAGAAAACAAATTCGTATAATAATTTCAAAAATTGAAGAAAATTCGATGCAGAAAAGATTGATTACCTGATTGATACGGAAAAGCTCGCGAAAGAGGAAAATCGCAGAGTTAGGGCAGATTGATTTCGTTGCCTGCAATTAATTGAATTTGATCAAAATTGGGCTATTGGTCGGTCGGTAATTTTTTTGGGTTTCTTAATTGGGCCGAAAAGTCTTTAAGACACAAATGTAGGAAAACATTGGGTTTGAATAAAAAAGATTTCGGTCGGTCTCCCACTTATTAAAAATGTGATCATGATCGATAACTGTGGCCCAAATATTATATTAGATTGTAGGAGTTTGTTTGAAAAATGCTTTTAAATGCTTTGAAAGCACTTCTCAAACGTGCCCTAGGGTACATGTTTGGCAATTGAAATAATGTGCCGTTGAGATTTCACATAATCACAATGCTCTTCAAACTAAATAGAATTACAAGAAATAGTTGTACTTGAGGTTTTATTTTCTGTCTAAGTGGAAGTCGCGACCTAGGCTAATGCCTAGGAGGGTTTGGGCAGATTAGGCGGGCGCCAAAGCGATCTAGGAGGGTGGCTAAGCAGGTCTAGGCGCCCTTAATTTTCAAATGCTTAGGGATTAATCGAGGCAGTGACCAGCCGCCTAGCACTGAAAATTTTTAGAACAGTGGTATAAACTAATTTCAAAAAATTGCAAAGTTTAACACTAGCAAAGTAAAATAAATACTTAAACTTCACCATCTCATCTATAACTACGATAAACTTGGACTGAACAAACTTAATCTCCATATTGTTGAATTTTTCATATCATAAAGTGATATTTGTCGATTTGCCCCTTGAACTTGGATAGAAGTGTCAATTTCCCCACTAAACTTTAATTTTAGCTGATTACCCCCTGAACTTTTATACTTAGCTAATTTTCCCCATGAACTTTAACTTTAACCGATTACCTCCTAAAATATTATAAATAGCCAATTTACCCCCCTTAGCGTTAGATTTTAAATTTATCATCCATCTAATTTTCCTTCTTTTTTTTTGCCCCAATACATTGTCATGTGTTGTCTGCGTGATCAAAATGGATAAAAAATTGGATGGATGAACTTTTTTTTTTTTAAATCTAGCGTTAGGGGAGGAATTGGCTATTTATAAAAGTTTAGGGGGTAATCGGCTAAAATTAAAGTTCAAGGAGGAAATTGACATCTCTATACAAGTTCAAGAGGTAAATCGACAAATATGCCTATTATAAAATGGAGAGTTGTCAAATTTCTAACTATCTTGTCCACGTGTAGATGATTTTGAAGTATCATGAATTGCAGTATATATATATATTTTTTTTGGTCAAAGGTTATTTTATTAACACAACACAACTAATTACACAAATTGAGGCCCAAATACAATAACCACTCAAGCAAAAGAGTTTTGGGCTCAAAAAAAAAAAAAAAAAACACAGAAGCTAAACCTAGCTGCTTCCTTACAACGACACCGTCGAAAGCACCGGAATTGCACTCCACGACGGTCACGAGCCTCCACCACCAACTTTCGCTAGGAACCCACACCTTAGAGATGAAAAGAAGATGAATTTCGCCTTCCACCAGAAAACATCTCACTGATCGCAGCCACAAATTAAGAGAAACCATAGAAGCCTATGGGATCGCCACAAGCAACACTGCCATAAATGGCAAACATAGAGAAGGAGGTGGTGTTGCCACTCAAGCTGGTGTGAATGCCGGAACTCCACGCGCCTTCTCAATTGAAGACCGCATCACTTTGCGGTTAAAATTGATTGAGCGGAGATGGAATCGGTGGAAGCCAAAATAAGAACATGTATATGGATGGATTGATGATTTGATCTGAGGGCAGTAGCATATACCTGTGAAAAACGGGGTGTAAAGGGAAAGCAAAATAAGAAGGAAAGCAAGGAAAAACATCAGAAAAATAAGAAAGAGGAAGCAGAGAGGAAGAAGGAAGGGCTGCCACCGACCCTAATCGAAATTAGGGCCAGCGACAAGAGGAAAATCGTTAGTGTTGCTGCTGCTTTCATCACGGAGATAGCAAGTAAATTGGGGTTCTTTTTAACTATGCATTCAGCTACTTCAACCCTTTCTGGAAACAGAATTATCAAACCATAAAGAGCTGTGTAACCACTTAAGTCTGTTATTTCCAAGTGTCCGTAGTCCATTAACTCCACCAACTCTTGGAAAGGTTTCTCACGTTCCAAATACTTTTTAAGTTAAAACATTTTTGGATGTAAGTGTAGTTTTTAGAAATATGATGTCTTTGGTTTTGGTCTTGTCACGCAATGAATTACCATGTCCTCTGGTATTTTAATTGTTATGGCTCAGCAGTGCCTTCATTGCCATCCTTTTGTATGCCTGTGTATGGCTTCGTTTTGTTAGTCTCTACTTGTTGGGTTATGTTTCTTCTTACTTGAGATAACATTAATGTACTTTTCTCCCATTTGGGATTGCTTTGATGAATTCATTTTATTGACCGAAAACTAGAAATTGAAATTCATTTTATTGAAGTAGAAATTGAAATTTTCTTTAAGGATAAAAAGCGCATACATAGTTGTCAAATAGAAAGCATATACATTATTGGCCAAATAAAAAGTGTATAATTTGACTTCTCTTTACAAATTTCTTAAAAAGTAGCAAAAAATCCAAACCCAACTAAGGAAACAAGGGAATTCAAAACAAATTTTTATGGTTCCTATTAAATACCCCCCCTCCAAAAGTAGAAATAAATAACTCAACAAGCAACGGAAATTGCATCCATATAAACGAGCTAATTGGAACATTGGCAATCAAAATGCTTGAGATAACAATCAATGATTTCCCATCAAGCATAATATTATGGGAGTTTTAACGAAAAACCCATGGTACTGTTCACTTTAACGATAAACAACATTTTTACACTAAAAAGTCAAACCTGGTACTATTCATTTTACCCTTTATTTTGTCCTTATCGTTAAAACTCAAAGTTTTCAAGCCATTTTTATTAATTTTCCTTAATATAAAGGCCACAAGAAAAAACAATCATCATGGTGGGATGGATGAAAAGAAGGTGAAAAGACCAATTATCATTTTTGTGGGCAAGGATTTGACAAATTACAATTCAACAATCAACATTTAATACAATGAATAATTAAACTAATAAAAAAATTAATAAATATTTGAAGCTACTGTCAAAATTGACAGCAACCCCCTTTGCTACTAATCTATATCTTGTCACATAAGATTTGGCATTTTGGTTGAAAACAATTAGTGGCTATCTATTTTTACTGTTATTGCTTATGTAGATATTTTGACATCTTTTTTGAAGATGCTACTATGCTGTCAATTTAATTACCTTTACTTTTCATTTCCATTTTAATTTATTTCCTTCTTTTCCTTTTCTTTTTGGGCTTTTTATTTGAGAGGTGTTGTAAAATCGACGGTGTGCAGTGGAATAAATGAAACAAGACACAAAATTTACGAGGTTCCTCTACAGTCAGTGCAACTGGAGTACGTCATCGGGGCAGCAGTGGTACTTTCATTATAATTCGAAATAATAGGAGTACAAAGATAACTCTCCATATTATCTCTCTATTCTTCCTCTTTTCTCAGCCATGTTGCTTCTATCCTCATTCGTATCTCTCCTCCTTCTTCACCTCTCATTCATTTTATAAGCAAAGAGAACACTATTCACTTTACAAATTTTCCACAAATGAATAGTGAAAATATTGTGCATAAATAGTAACAAACCATTCATGTGGGCCATCCACATATTATTCACAACACTCTTCTTGGATGGCCATAAGTCTTCGATTGACTCGTTAAAATCTTGATCTGTTTTGGATGCTCCCCTTGATAAGTATCTCCCCCTGATTTCAAATCATTTAGGCTGATCGTTGATCATTCTGCTTCAGTCTCTTAGTAAGAAGAGTTGGCGAAAATGGTGCTTTATTTGTTGTAACTTTCCACAGGCTTGTTCTTGAACTGGGCTAAAGGATCTTCTGATTTCCTCCAAAAGTCTGAATTTACTTCATTTATCTAGAGCTAAATTTGATTCAAGGGTGGTGGACACTTGATCTTGAATCAGAGTTGTGATTTCTTCAAGGACCTTCGATGCTTGATCTCGAATGAAATTGGACCATGATGAGCTTCACTTGGCAAGTGATTTTCGGCTTTGTCGGGGATGAATCAGCATGTGTTTGTTGCGCTTGTCTCCACATGCTTCAATGTATCATTTTTGCTTGCCTTATCTGTTCCCCTTGCATAAGTGGTATTTTCCTTGGTTTTCCCCTATGCATGTATGACATCTTCTCTTGTAGTATTTGTTCACTGATGCATGAGTGGAATGCAACCCTTGCATTTGGATGGTTCATCACTTCTTAGTGACTCATTCATGCGTGGCAGCTTCAATGTAAAGAGCCAACAACTAGCCAATTATTCTGCGGTGTTGATGACTTGAAACCCAGCTCCATCAACAGTTAAGATGGCTACTTGAGAGCAATTATAGGTAAGCAATCAAGAAAGGTTCCAGGCAGTCAGTTCCTTACCGGAAGTTTGATTGGAGGTTCCGACATATTGCTTTCTTTATCCTTGTCTTTGCATGTAAGAACAAGGACAAATGAAAAGACATGGACAATGCATGATATGAGATACTCTTGCTCTCGTTCCTGATGATATGAGATACTATTGCTCTGGTGTGACTTGTTTGAAGAGGTATTCTCGAAGAGAAAGAAAACTGAATATTTCGAGATGCTTTGTTGAAGATGCATTCTCGGAGATGAGGAAGAGTTAGGTAGTCTTGCAGGTCTGCCTTGTTATGGAGAACGAAGGTCGACATATATAGAGATTTGTTAGTAGCAAGTAGTGGTGCTGTGCCTTTACTCTTGTCAGCAACTGTGGTGTAATTAGAACAGTAAGATTTATGCATTTTCAACTTTGTCAGAGATCTTTGACAAAGTTGCATGCAATATTCGAAAAAGCTGAGATTGCGTCTGAAAAATGCCAACGAAATTTATTCAGGAAAATCTGGCTTTTGAAATTCAAGGAGCGGTGCATCTTCGATCTCTGAACAAGTGGCTATGTTGCCTCTTCTTTTATAAAGACATCAATTGTGTTTAAGAGTATGCTCAGAAAGTTGTTGCCTGTAGAAATTTTCCCCTTCTTGCACTTCTGATATTTTATTTAACCTTCTTTTT